ACCCCCCGCGCCCCCCAAAAACGATCGTGTAGTATATGCTTCGATCAGTTTCATATCAGATCTTTCCCGCCACACGATCAAGCGTAGTATCTGCTCCGTTCAGTTTCATATCTGATCTGTGGTCCATCGAGACCTTTTTATTAACAAAAAAAAAAAACATGGGCGCGCACGAGAGAGCGAGGGTCCATCGGGATGGTTTAAACGCGTGTGCACAAGACACTGTGGAGAGAGAGAGAGAGAGAGAGAGAGAGAGAGAGAGAGAGAGAGAGAGAGAACCCAACCTAACTAACTATGCGCCTCACCCCCCCAACCCCCCGATTATCTGCTTCGATCAGTTTCATATCCGATCCTCCTCCTCACACGATCAAGCATATTATGTACTTCGTTCAGTTCCATATCCATCGAGATTTTATAAAAGAAAAAAAAAGCACGCACGCGCGCGCGCGCGCGAGAGAGAGAGAGAGAGAAAGAGATGGTTTAAACGTACGCGCAGGGGAGAGAGAGAGAGAGAGAGAGAGAGAGAGAGAGAGAGAGAGAGAGAGAGAGAGAGAGAACCCAACCTGACTAACAATGGGTCTCCTTCCCCCTCCCCCCCACACGATCGAGTGTAGTATCTGCTTCGATCAGTTTCAAAAAAAAGGCGCGCGCACGCAAGAGAGAGAGAGAGAGAGAACCCAACCTAACTATGCGCCTCCCCCCTCTTCCCCCCCATGCGATCAAGTGTAGTATATGCTTCAATCAGTTTCATATCCGATCCTCCCCCCCCACACGATCAAGCGTAGTATTCGATCTGTGGTCCATCAATGCCTTTTTTTTTTAGAAAAAAAAAAAAGAACACGTGCGCACGAGCGAGCGAAAGGGAGAGAGAGGTCCATCGAGATGATTTGCGCAAGACGTGGGAGAGAGAGAGAGAGAGAGAGAGAGAGCCCAACGTAACTAACAATGGGCCTCCTCCCCCCTTCCCCCCACAAAAGTGTAGTATCTGCTTCGATCAGTTTCATATCTGATCTGTGGTCCATCGAGAGATTCAAGATCTTTTTTCTTTAAAAGCACGTGCGAGCGCGCGCGCGCGCGAGAGAGAGAGAGCCCAACGTAACTAACTATTCGCCTCCCCCCCCCCTTCCCCCCCACACCATCAAGTGCAGTATCTGCTTTGATCAGATCCATGGTTCGTCGAGACGGGTAAAAATGGGGGAGAAGAAAAAACAAGCACACCCAAGACATGGGAGAGAGACGAGAGAGAGAGAGAGAGAGAGACCCCATAACTGCGCCCCCCTCCCCGTCCCTCTCAAACGATCAAGTGTACTGTGGGATCCGTGGTCCATGGAGACGGTTTACCAAAAAAAAAAAAAGAAGGGTGCGTGCGCGCACGCGCGAGAGAGAAAGTGAGAGAGGGACAGAGACCCCAATCTAACCAACTATGCCGCCCCCCCACACAACGATCAAGTGCAGGCTCCGATCGACAGCAACTGCCCGCAACCCACCCCCGCCCCC